TTTCCGCTTGCCTCGGTTCCTGCGCTTGAATCTACAGAGCGAACCACCACTCTTCCTCACTATCTTCATTGCTCGGAGCATTGGGTATGAAGGGATGTTCATTGTCCAACATGGTGCAGGCAAAGAAGAAGAGCTACAGCAAATGGAGGCCGCGAAAGGCTGCTGCCAAAGCACTGATCTCGTTAGGACTTGAGGAGGCGCCCTTCCAGAGCTGCCTGTCTCAGATCCAAGATCGCTTTAAACTCTTCTACTCGTACTAGTACCACCTTCATCCATCCATGCAGAAGCCACAGACAGCACCAATCTCTACTTTAGGCTCCACCTCAGCAGCGCCACGGCTGAAGACCAAGGCCCGAAGGCTGCGGCACTGATGGCTGCACCTGGGCTGCCGAGACTTCCGCTTCAAGCAAAGCACTCGACCCGACGAATCCCAGAAGGGCTGCCGAGATCCCACCATAAGCTAGAAGGTCATAGCGCAAGACGCGACTATATTTTGGAATCTCTAGCTCTGCTGGTTGCTCTACGTGCCTGCTTGCTTGGGACATGCTGATGTTTCTAGACATGTCTTGCAAACCTCGGCAAGCCAGTTAAAGTCAAGCTTTGCTCCTGCGGGCGGCTGAAACCAATGACGTCGGCCGCGCGCGCTTCCAGAGCAGATTGCAGCAGATCCCGGGCCTTGCTGGACAGCCGAGTTTCTGAAACCAGCCGATACTTCCGGGCACGGGCATGAGGGTTCCGTCCAGGTAGCAAGGCGCCACCGCCCTCCTCGCTCAGCACCCGAGATGGCCTCAGTGAGATCAGGGCATCAGGACAGGATGATCCACACGAGGACGACTAGGATGTCACACGGATTTTGGCCGAGCGTCGCAGTTGTAGATGATGGTATTCGTAAGCAGCCTTTGCAACTGGCCAACATGTCTCGTTCAGTCTTGAGACTTGGGTCTTCGGCCAATTGAAACTCCGCACACTATGCAACCGAACAAGATGCGTGCCGACTTCAGTCTACAGGAGTGGTAATTGAGGGAAAGAGTGAAATGTCGACAGTTTCCTGTTCAGGCTAATGGCCTTCATGTCTCGAAATCCGGAAACCGCATCCAAGCGGCTTTACAGCCGGCATCAAACCCAAGAGCACCTCAACATCTCCAAACATTTCGGCATCGAGATAAACTCGATGTACAGAGCGGCGAAGGCTTGGGAGTTCATGGATGCTGCACGGAGCTGTGTAGTAACTGACACTCGAAAGACCCGACAGCCGTGCTTAGTCGCAGGACTTCTGCTCCTGCCTGCCGAACACAATTGAAAGTTCTCTGAGCCGCCCACGTGGGCCGCTGGCCACTGCGCAGCACGGACGCAAGCATTCATTGTAGCACCGTAGCAGATCACATCCGGTTTCAGAGACAGCTGAAGCTGGATCAGCTGCAGAGCAGCTTGCCAGTGGTGCTGCTGGACGCTGGCATGAATCGCCCGAACGATTGCAGTTGGGCTTTGCTCCAACTCAATACCAGACATGCACTGCCGGCATTTGTAAATTTGACGACAAAGTGTTCCTTGCACGGGAACTACACATAAATCACGTGCATGGTCATAGCTGCTTCCAGAAAAACGCAAGTGTGTCTTCGGATGGGCGTCGCTTTACAAATGCCATGAGCATGCCGCTTGCGACGTCATGATCAGCATCCCAGAGCTTGCCCAACAGGAGCCTCGGTTAAAAGCCATTCTGCTGTTTAGGGTCTAGGGTTCAGGATCTTCAAGAGCTCACGCACACAAGCTGCAACTGCGCCGACACACTCCAGCCCGGTCAAACTGCAGTCCAGAGTACTATGCTCATCAGGCATATAAGGCCAGCGTCTGCATGTCACCATGGCAAGGCTAGCCCCAGCCCAAGCCCCTTCAAAGCACTCTCCTGTCATTCTCTACAGGCAGGAAGCCACAGGCAGCGACGTTCAGAGGATGACATGTCACACATTTTAGCCTTTGCTTCGTTCTTAGGCTTTCCGGCTACTCCAAGTTACCTCCAAGAAGTTGACCCAAACAAAAGCACACCCGGTTGCATCAAGTTTGTGCGGTTACGGGTCGTCAAGGAAATCACAAGCGATAGAACTACTCCGCAACCCCTGTCCCGCGCCTTGTAAATCAATGGAGCAAAGGAGGTGGGCCCGGAAAGGCCGTAGCCGTTCGCTCCAAGCTTCTCGACTGCCTCGCAGGCCCAGGTCCCGGAGTCTTAGAATTCAAACTAGAGGGCATTGTCTGTTGCAGCAAGTACAACCGATGCGACGTCACACAGCAGCAGCTTGTCTGTGCATCTAGCGTCGCGTACTGCCTATGAGCATCCTCGATCTTATCTCGTTCATGATGTGTGATCATGCAACACAGTACCTTGCACTGTGCACTAATTTGTGCTCTGTTGTTCACAGATTTGCCGTGCTCGCTTCCAGTACACATCAAGTGCCAGCATTGGCTACTGTTTTGGTGCGTTGTCGCTACTTGATTATTGCATCACATCATGTGAACGCGCCGGATGTACGGCACAGGACGGCGCAGCACTTTGAACACGGCACATCTCGCTGCTGTACATCGTGGTACATTACTGCACGCCCGTCACACCGCGGTACACAACAAACCATGTGGCAATCCATTACATGCTTTGCCAACTGCCACCTCGCGACGACTAGCTGCGGTATACGCTGGACTAGACTACGTGCTTGAGTCGGCTTCACATTGTGTGCAGATTTTTCCGTGGTGGTCTCAAGTGTTCCGATGAGCTTAAGGCTTGTGCCAGGCTCTGGCCTTGTTGTAGGCTGGCAGGATCTCATCGACAGGTATGCTGTCATGGCCTGTCAAGCTTGCGCAGAGTCGGAAGACAGAAACCTTCTGGGACACTTGAAACCAAGCCGAGAACTCAGAAAGCTCCGCAACCAACGATTGACTGCTTCTTAAACATCCAGGAAGCTATGAAGCGCGACCTTCTGCAAGAGCTCGGACAGCACGGTCTTTGGTCGACACCTCAAATAGTGGCCACATGCAGGCAAGGGAAGACTCGATGCAATACGTAATCTTCAATCCTAATCCCGGACCTCCGTATCAAAAGGAGAAGTCTATGAGCCAGGCTGAATCTAGCCCGTGTGTCCGCTTGTTTCTCTCCCTGGCCGCCCGAAAACTGGGTGCACGCACATCTCCGAAGATAAAGGCAGGAACAAGGCCGTCTTCGTCGAACATCGGTGCGAGCGTCTGCGCGAGGAGCAGCGGGTTTGGTGAAAAGGTTCGCTCGTGGGACAAAGATGACAAAGGCTCAGCCCAGGCCCAGCGCCTTCATCACGATGTCCTTGCTCCAGGTCAAGGACCGCTTAAACTCGATGATAAGTCGCAAGACCGCTAACTGCCAACATGCAAGCCATGCCTCCTTGCGTACCAGGAACGATGCTGCGCTGGTATGGATTGGGGCCATGTGGTGATCGCAGAGCATGCAAGCTGAGGTTGTGGAAGGTCTCCTTGCCCTGGGTCAGGTTAGACCTGAGCTCTCTCCCCGAGGCCCGACATGTTTGCACAGTTTTGCCATATTCGCCACAGCCGAGCGGCCTGGTGAAGTCGATGCCCAGAATCAAATTGCAAGTCTCCATGCCCTCCTCGAACCAGATTGCTCTCAACACAGCTCTTCAGCCAAAGATGCGATGCATCTATCATCCATGCATCTGCTACTGTCCTTCTTCAGGGCATCCATCAGCTGATTCTCGTAGAAAGCCTGTGATACACGCTCACCGTAGAAAGCTGTTCATGCAACGGCTGGTGCGAAGCGCCTCATCTGCATTGGAGATCTCAGAGGGCTGGACGATGGTGGAGTGCTCTCTCAGCACCTGCAGACTGGGTGGACTCTACGACTCTACGGCTCTGGGCCTCCTTCTTCCGACCTCTGACAGAAACAGCCTGGGTCTGCCGCTATGTTAAGCTCGTCATATCTCCAACAGATGCACCCGAAGTGCCATCCCCAGGCAGCAAGGAATGCTGGAAGATCGAAAGTTAACCAAGGAGATAAAAAGCCCCTGCAGCTAAGAGTTGCAGTGCCGTGCAAGGTCTGGGATGTGTGGAATGTATATTTCTGAGAGTCCTGTGTGAGTTTTCTGTGAGCCATTCTGTGAGCGGTATCTGTGAGCAGGGGGTGGGTCTGTGAGAATTGTGCGAGCGGCGCCTGTGAGTAGAGAGCCCATTGCACTCACACACCCTTCACAGATGGGGCCAATCACAACCAGACCGGCCCCACTCTCAGACGCGGCTCACATCTCACAGACCCCGCTCACAGAAATCCCACAGGCTCGAAACCTCGATTTTCTTGTGTTTTGCAATAGAACGGAGCCCCGGGATCTGTGAACCGGGCTGTGAGCGGCCCGGTCTGTGAGCGGCCTGTGAGCCGGCCCCCAATCTGTGAACTGGCAGCTCTAGAAACTCCGTTTACATGCTTTCACAGAAAACTCACACCTCCCGCTCACAAGAAACTAGAAGCCCTAAAACCTCTTTCGCCAAACTCACAGATACCTCTCTCACTGTCTCTCTCAGAGGCCTCATTTACCATCTTTCAGAAGTTACAACACCTGCCACTCGTAACACTATCACTACAGCCATTCGCACAGAAAGCTTGGCCTCAAAAGATGGCACCCGGATTGCAAAAGCACCCGAGGCTATACGCTCGTCAGCCTCCTTTACCACGGCTGCGACGCTCGCTTCAAAGCGGCCAGACAGGTATCCCCCCATGGCGAGGGCGACCCAAAGCGTGCTCTGCTTCAAGTCTTTGCTAAATCTGCGGCAGGCCTGTCAGTCGAGTCTTCGCTACCCGCACGAGACTACCCAACAACCAAGTAGTCGAGAAACACTGAGTGGACGATCTTGCTACCGACGTGTTCAATGCACTTGTCATTGTAGCCGGGACCACTGGCAGCCAATGCTTGCGCGATGCAAAGGGATCGTCTCGGCCTCTCGCGTAGCTCGCTCTAGAAAGCCGAAGGCAAGTCCTTCCACCGTTGCACCCGTGGCTCTGCCACATCGGCGGCAGTCTCCTTTGAGAAATCAGAAACGTATCTTTATGCTCAAGCTCAACTCCTGCACACAGAAGCCTGAAAAGAGATTCAGCGGATGATCACAAGCTGCATCCGAAAACCTGAAGCAAGAGTCTGGAAACTTCGACGCTTCCAGGAGCGCCATAATCTGCACATTGGGCAAAAGGCAAATAACACCATGTAGGCACGGAAAGGGCTCCAAGTCCCGTCCTCAGAACCAGGACTTTGCTGGCATCCTTCACCGAGGTTGACCTGTAGCTACTCAGACAGGCAACGCTCCTGCAGAACAAACCCGCACATAATTACATGCTATACCTGCCTTCCTACCCACCTACGTCCACACGAGCTCGCATCGTGCCTTCCTCCTTTACATACATGCATGTCTACATATAAATATATATATATATATAGATATACAAAGTAATTTACATTCACATGTATTTATATTTGCATTTGTACTTATATGCATTTCGTTAGTTAGTTAGTTAGTTAGTTAGTTAGTTAGTTAGTTAGTTAGTTAGTTAGTTAGTTAGCTAGTTAGTTAGTTAGTTAGTTAGTTAGCTAGCTAGCTAGCTAGCTAGCTAGCTAGTTAGCTAGTTAGTCAGTTAGTCAGTCAGTCAGTCAATCAGTCAGTTAGTTAGTTAGTTAGTTAGTTAGTTAGTTAGTTTATACACACACATACGTCCGTACTTATGAAAACTTTCAGCAACCTCTCTTTGCGTTCTTTTGCATCCTGGTCCCCCGCCCCCTCTTGTAGCGATGCAAATTTTGCATGTGCCGGACGGCAGGTCAGGAATGTATATAAAGGTACATATCGATGTACCGGGTTACTCCGCGCCTCTGCACACACACACGCATATAATGTACATGTACATGAATATAATATGTATGTGCGTATACAGATCCGTTTGCTACATGTAATTTGCGTAGATATCCGTCCAGTTCTGGTACCTCTTCGCGAAGACCTGCCTTAATGCTCACCCAACATATCTCACAGTGCACAAAACGGAAGGTGATCATTTCTTGCATGCAACCGAAAACATGTGCTGTTATGCTCGCGGACAACTGACAAATATGTTTTCAGACGCTTTGCAATCGTTCAGTTTTCCGGGACTTGCGCTCCCCTGTCTCATCGTGAAACCGATAGGGAGAGCCTGCAGAATCTGTGTAAATGCTGCTTCCTTGGATACAGCCGCAGGACATGCAGGCTCACAAGCCTGCTGTCCAGAAAGGTGGAGGTGGGGACACCGATAGTGTGCCTTGTGCAGCCTACTGCAGGACGCCCTGTTGGCCAAGAGAAAACCCATGTAGACGAAGGCTGCTCAAGGACGGCCCAGTATTGAGCTACAAGTTTTGAGGCTCCAGGATGACAATGTAAGTCTGTACATGCATACATGCATTTCTGCATACATGCGTATTGCTATTCTGTACGTATGTTCTGCTTGGATATTTACAGATGCGCAACGTCCAAAATCCATGCCAGGACTCCCTGAACTCCGGGGCCTACCGTCCTTCGGGTTCCGAGTGCCTCGGCGAGGCGCAGCGCCTCCGTCAGGCGAGCTTCCTGCAGGAGGGTGAGCCGAAAGCGGCAGAGAGGAAGCGCTGGCTGGAACAGAGAGCTCGAACCCGAGAACCCGAATCCCGAAGTTCTCGGCTCCACCGCTCCTCGGCATTCGCCTCTTGGAGCTGCGACTCCAGCCTGCACACGATGCGACCCGAAGAAAAAACGACAGAGACCAATGAGCGCTCCACGTGCTGCCGTCCACTAGAAGACTTCCAGCGAATCTTTGCAGGTCGAAGAGTCGCCGAAGAGCGATGGGATGAAAGCCTCCGGCCTTGTGCTACAAGTACGATGTCTTTTCTCTGATGGAGCCTCGAGGTTTCTGCTGTCAGGCTCCGCTGGGTCTGCAGGAGGTGTCGATGACGGTCCTTCCAACACATTTCAACCGCCTCTGACTCAAAGAAGTCCGAGAGGTCTTTGATGACTCTCTGAGCTCAGATCCTCCAGGCAGTAGTGCTCGTGGGACAGGCTTGCCTTGCAAGATGCAGAGCCCGAAAAGCATATTTAAAGAGCCAGCTGCCTAGAGATAGGATGCCACAGCACATGTGCGCAGACTTGGGATGCACAACTCGAGCGTGCATATCCCTTGATGCCATACCAGCAACCCCATAATTAGGGAAACTTGGCCTCTGTTTGTCTTTGGACACCCAGCTGCTGCCAATCAATCGTGTACCTCAGCTTGCAAGTTGTATGATCTTCGAGCTTACTACAACGAAGCAAGGATACCAGGATTTGCAGGTTCGGCGTAGGACCGTGGCCGAGATCTTGCAAACAGGCTGTTGGACGGCGACACACCAGAACAGCAGAAATTTCTGAGTTGTCGTCTCCGTAAAGGCTTTCAAACGGCCATTGATGCAAAAATGAAAGGCATGTTCTGCCCTTGTTTAGGGCAGTTCACCACAGTCCGAACCAAGTCAGGGGCTCTGTCAGCTGAAGATTCAGGTATCGGATCCTTTCGTCCTGCGATGAACATCGGCACAGGGTGCTCTGCGGGGATATCGATGAGTCTTACGTAACATCATCAAGATAGGAAAGACACGGGACCCTCAGCTTCGTTTGCGACCACGAGAGACAGTCCTTCATCTGGCACTGCTGCTTCCAATGGCTCGCCATCATCCTCCTCTGCTCCTGGTGAAAGCGCACCAGATCCTGCATGGACGATCTCCATTCGCGTTGAAAGCATTAGCAAATTCCCGTTCGGCTGTCCCCAAGGAGCTTAAGAAAATTAACTTACTCACTGGCTCACTCTTGGTCTGAGTCTTCTCAAACAAACTGCACGTATCTAGTCATATGCATATACGACCATATCCATCTGTCTTTCTGTTTGTCTATCTATCTATCTGTCTGTCCAGCCAAGTATCTATCTGTCTATCTATCTATCTATCTGTCTACATACATCTGCAAGTGTCTACAACATTCTAGTAGAGTAATCCTACGATATGGCATACCATGGAGCCGACAGCAGGAACACAATCTGCGGACCAGAACGTCGTGCCTCAGCACAGACCACGCGCCGGTCCGCCTGCTCGGCATCCTTCTGCTGCTCCTGAGGCCAGGAAGCCAGGAAGCGGATTGGCAAACTGCACCCAAGATTTGACGGACACAGTCTACTCGAATCCCGTAAGACTGCCTCCAAAGCCAGCCGAAGCGAATCCAGGCGTTCGTTGTGCTGCTCCTCCGAGACTTGACTCTCCGAGCCCTGAGAGCGACAGTTGCGACACCGAGACAGTCCACAGCGGCGCCTTCATGGCCTTGAACTCCGCTTGCAAGCCCAAGAAATCCTGCGACATGCTCGCTATAAGGGTCCACAGGCCCGCCCTAGCTAACGAAGCTTGAGCCAATACAAGTCACTTCAGTAGGTAGGTGAGCCTCTGTTGCCCTCAGAGTTCTACAGGGCTTAGCAAAGGGCCTCAAGCCTAAGTTATCGTGATCGCAGCAGCTCCTCCTGAGCCCGCATCACGCGATCTTCCAGGACCTCTCAACACCAGCTGGAGATCCAAAGACAACTTTCGAATCATTTTCGAAGCCAATGTCTTCTGGTCTTGTGGGGCTTCGAGCTGGGAAGTTGCCACTGTCGTCCCACCTCGTTCTCTGCACGCAGCGCGCCTGCCTGCAGTTTGGATTCCAGCCTAGGAGGGACACAAGCAGCAACAAGGAAGAGTGGGAGCCTAGAAGAGCCCGGGACCTGACACACACCTTCCTCCGAGCACCTTGAAAAAACTGGTCGAAGCCTCTCGAATCTCAAGGCACCATGGTTCGCTCGTTCACTCCTGAATTAAAAAGGCCTTAAACGCTTCCCAAGCCCCTCGGGGCCAGACTCTGCACGCCTCATTCGAAGTGACCTCGCGTGCGATTGTTGCAGGCTCTAGGATTTTCGGTTTGCAGTCCCCGCAATGTCAGTGCGTTTCTTGAGTGATGGTGAACCCCAGTATATCGTGCACTCCAGTCACTCGAAACCATTTCCGGTGGCATTTTAAAACTCTTGTTGCGAACACGGACAACCATGAGCTGCTGCTCTCCTTCCCTGCCTCAGCCTGCTCTCGCGATCTTCAGGCTCCTCAGCGGCGGCACCTGGCAACTAAAGCTACAAGATCTTCTGCGTTGACGCTTCGACGGCTCTCAAGCTCCCGGAAGCCCTGGTTTCCTCCAGAAGTTTCGTGAATGGACGGAGCCGCGGATCCAAGTCCCCGATACCACGTCAAGCCTGCTTCAGCGCTTTCGCCACGAGGTAGCTGAATTTCCTGCGGCTCGGACTATGGACAGGAACCCTCTGCATCGATGTAGCATGCCCCGTTTCGAAACGAGTCCGATGGGAAACGAAAAAACGATCTGAAAACAAAAGGCTTGAGGATCCTCGACGCCGGGGGACTCCACGGGCTGCCGTGGCGGTGTTGTTGGCGACTTGGCTGGTCTTTTTCATGTGGTCCGGGCTTCGGGCTCAGGGGGCAAAGTCGGCGATTCCAAGACTTACCCATGGGCTCCTTGTGACATGATCTCCACACGCAATCCGAAGAATCAGACAATGAAAATAGAATAAAAGTCGGGTGGCCACCACCTGGCCAAGCAAGTTCCAGGTGGAGCTTGTCTCCTCAGCCATCAGATTCGCAACAAAGTATTGTCACACTACTTGTCAAAGCCCTCATCGCCTGTTCCACCGGCTGCGATCATGCGCATGATTGTGCAAGCCGCTACACATAGGCTGCTCAACCACGAAATCCAGCCGGTTCGCCATCAGGAATCTTTCCCAAAAATTCGTCGGTGTGCATGTGGGCAGCTGCAGGTTCCGGCCTCTTCTGCGAACAAGCCCTGCTGGTAGTAAAACAAGTGCATCTGGCCAAGCGAAAGGTTCGGAAAGATAACACATGCCGAACCGACAAAGCACCCTGTCCTGTAAAGCTCTTCCTTCCAACGTGTCACATACAGGGTGAGAATAGCTCTGGATGCAGACATAAGCGAGCCGGCCAACCAGGGCAGCAGGAAAATTGCTGCGGCCGCCCTCCATGACCTGAGCACCATACGCTGTTTGAGCAGCATACTGAATGCAATGAAAAGCATGTACCACAAACGAGCCTTGTTGGTTGACACAGCAGAGGTCGCCAGTTTGCATGCAACTGCTGTCTTGATTTTGTCAACCTAGCTGACTGCCGAGCGCATGGAAATTTAAAGCCTTGGACTCACGGACCCAGGGCTCCGACTGCAGCAAACCATGATGCCACGGGAACGCGTCAACAAGCCATGAAATCAAACAAATGTGTGGGGTGACTGAAGAACATGGTACGGTGCAGATTGCAACTTTCTGAGTGCGATAGCTGTGCTACGATGGGAAAGAAAAGAATCGAGTGCTAACACGGCTGTGTGTATGCACGGACTACTATTTTCAAAAATGAGCAGCAAACTGTTGAATGTCTGAGTTCGAACCTAGAACATCATGTGCGTGTTCGTCGTGTCGATGTGTTTCTCCAGCTGGCTGCGGAAACATGCACGTCCATGCCTCGCCTCCACAGCTCAAGATGCTCAAGATGCACGTGATTCTGCTGGAATTGACAAACATGCCCCGCAATTGAAATTGATGACATCTGCGAAATGTACAGGTCCACTGGCCCGTTTTCAACCGTTTTTGAAGGACCGCTAGTGACCACATCATCTAAGTCGGGAAGAAAATCACTTGCTAGTCTGCTAGATGTACTTTTTCGTGGTTTTACGCACCCAACAACAATTGATAAGTTGTTCGGGCGGTCTTTGTTGAATCAACAGCCACTACAACCAGCACATGCTGAAAATGTTTCAACAGCTGCTGTGCGGTAAGCGACAAGTCGCGAAAGTGTGAAGTGTACCCGGTAAGCCCAACTCCGAAAAGTAACGGCAATGATGACAAATCTATCTTCCCAACCACGATCATCATTACTTGACTGATTTTGTTGGCACTGCTCCATTGCTTCGATGCTGCTACTCAACTATCTACAAAAACTTTGTTTCTTCGGGCGAAGATGCATTCCTAGTTTTTTCGTTGAAGATTGTAATGGTCTAGCCGATTTCGAAAACCCTATCAAACTAGATAGAGCCGCATCCGAAAAGATGAATTTGCCGTTAGTTTCTTGCTACGCAAAAAAAAGGAACGAGGTTTTGTGCTTTCTGCACAGACAAGATGTGTTGTCTTCTTGATGGTTTTCAGAAATTCAAAAAAGCCCAACAACTCTGAACATGCTCCAGTCTGTCTTTGAGCTCTGTTTAGGCCTCCACTTTGATCTTCTTGCCTTGCTGCCTTAAATTTAAACTCTCCAACCTTGCAACTAAATCGAACAGAAAGTTTCCAAACCTGGAATTCGAGAGTTCTTAACCCAAAATTCCTGCATTGAGTTTTCCAAAGTTCGCCATATGTCTCCGCAGTTTGTGGAATACAAGTTGAGCTGAAGTGTAATTTGCCACTCTCTTGGAGTTTTCTTGAGAAAATAGCATGAAGACGTACGCCGCAAGAATCTTGAAAACCAGGTTGCAACTTCTGCACCTGCTTGGACGCTTTTTAAATGTGTTTGGCAATCTTGTTGCATTTGATTTACCGCGTTAACAACAAAGCAGGAGCTTGAACCAAAGCTCCTTATGTAAATAAGTTTCTTGCTTGAACCCTAAGCAACCTTCGAAAGAAGGTCCTTCTTCTGTACACTGTTCAATAAACCAAAGTTCTCATCTCCAAATCAAAGGCACGATGTACGAACAACATCTCAATTCTGAGTTGAAGGCACACTTCAGCAAACAGGCGTGTTGACAAATCTGCAAAAATAACAAAGTTGAGCAAGAAAACAAAGTGCTCAAAAATGAGCGCCCTTAATTCCATTAGAGCATGCCATTTTGTTTTTGACCCCGACATGTCTTTTTTTCGCCCCCTATCTTTTTTCCAACCCGGCGACAAGCCCCAGAAAAAGACTACAAGCTTTTTTTCGACACCAATGGTCAGTATGTGGTCTTTTTCTTGGTCCCGAAACATCTTGTAGCCTGACCCTGGATCTTTTTGGACTCCGAAGCATCTTTTTCTAGGCCTCCAGTTTTTTTTGGCGTGATCAGGCCTCGTCGACGGCGGCTGCCGCACTCGGTCCTAATGAAATCAACAAGAAGCAACAATGGACAAGACTAAGAAGCGGTGAAACAAGCTGCGACCAACAGATTTAGCCGGCAAGAGTCGCTCAGCAAGGAATTTTCCGTCTTATTTAGACAGCGACCTCTCTCAGATGCCCCGCTTTCCAGATTTCAGAGTCACGCAATGCAATGGCAAGCACATTGCCCGCTTCCCGCAAAGCATGGGTTGCAAGCTCATACTGGCAGCTGCAATAAGACAGCTGGGTGCAAGTGAGCGTGCAAAGTGGCAGAGAGGCAACAAAGCACGCAGGTTACTTGAGATGCCATGGAAAATCAGAGCGGATGGATCCACCGCATTTGTGCCAGACCGCTCTTGGGCGGATCATGCAAGCAATTGCTGAACGCGCAATGGACGCACAGTCAGGCTGAGCTGGCGCCAGACCTTCACGGATTGGGTCGAGGACGTGCTGGAATCTTACCAAAACAAAGAAAAAGACGCCAAATAACAGTTAGAGCGCCCAAACGAAGCCAGAGCACGTAGAGATTTTTGTAGTTTCTTCTAGTTCCCATGTTCGTTTCCCTTCACAAAGATCCCACCCGGCGTGAGTCAGCAGAAGCCGTGGCTAAAGAGCTAGCTTCGGGATCTGCGTTGTTGGTTCAAGCAACAGACACTCCCCTGAACATTTTCATTGAAAAGCTTATCTTAGCTTCTTTCTCTGTGGAGACTCACCTTTGGGGAACTCTGATTCGGCTCATCCTTTACTATCAATGCTGTGCAAAATACGTTAGTACATGTACATGGAAACCGACAGAAGTTTTCGCACGAGATCTCACCTACATACACATGAATCTGTTCCCTCTAGGGGTTTCCGATTTCCGGTTTGACATTTGACACCTGCTTGGAAAGTGTTCTATGGTGTCAAACGGCATGAAACTCGGTCTTGATTTGCTCTCACGATGCTCACTGCTGCCAGCTCCAAAGATTTTAAAAGTGTTTGAAAGCGTCGACAGTGTCAAATCTTGCGTTTGAGAAGATCTAGCCGCTTGGCTCTCATGCAGTAAAAAAGTGTCAAACAGATCTGTGAGCACAAATATCAGCAGGCGGACATCAGTGGGCGCGCGGGCAGTGAGCCAGTAAGAGGAGCATTAAGAGTATAAGCCGGCGGAGCAGAAGCTCGATTTGAGGTCGTCTTTTCAGAATATTGCGGCCTGAGCGGCGCTCGCTGAAACAGTCTGGCTGCCCAGATGAGCATTAGTCTGCAAGCGCGCAGGCAGAGGCGGGGTGGAAACCTCACAGACGCAACGCAGACAGCACGCGCTGCGACGCAGCGGCAACCGAGAGGAAGTTGAGTTTTTGGCTTTTGCTTGCAGAAGTCCAAGTTGATGTCGTGAAGCTACCTCGCAAAAAAACCTTTCAACGAGAAGAACTGATCTGCTTGTTGAGCTGCAAGGACGAGACCAAAATCAGCAAGATCATCAGCTCCAAGAACGACTGTGAGCAAGACAGTATGGACTCCACCTTCGGACGAAGGGGGGCTTAAG